GAAAATAAATAAATACATAAAAATTATAATTTATTACCCGAAATCAGAATCATATGACTAGCTGATCCCTGAATGTTCCTCTCATTCTACGCTTTGCTGATTATCATTTCTATTGTTACACTCAAAGATTTGGGGAATCTTAGAACTGAAATATTTCAGATTGCCTGATAAAATTACAGATATGGAAACTAGGCTTAGACAGGTACTCAAAACCCATGTAAGTTTCATTGCTTTTCTTAGGTGCCCAAGCTCAGAGTCTGCTACTTTTTTTGTTGTTTTTGTTCTTTGAGACAGGCTCTCCTTCTGTCACCCAGGCCGGAGTGCAATGGTGTGATCACAGCACCGCAACCTTGACCTCCAGGGTTCAAGCCTGAGCAGATTTGAGGCTCTCTGGTCCATCTCACTGTGACAGTGGTTCTCATCCTAGGGGCAGTTTTTCCCCCAGGGAACATTTGGCAATGTCTGGAGACATTTTTGGTTGTTATGCCTGGGGCATGTGCTACTGGCATCTAGTTGGTAGAGGCCAGAGATGCTGCTGAGTATCCTATAATGCACAGGACAGCACTGCTACAAATAATTATTTGGGCCGAAATGTCCATAGTACTAAAGACTGAGAAACTCTGTGCTATAGGTAGTCTTTTCCTTTTATTTAACCTTCATTAGAGGGCAGCCACCTGCTTCCCTGGTTAATGGGTTATCTTGTCACAGAAAGTTCTTCTTACCAGATTTGTTCTTTATTTGATATTTCTTTTCTTTATATTTTGAGGAAAAAATTTATATAGTTCAAATATGTAGGAAAAATAAGCTTTGCAGAACAATTTCCCTCATATACATGCCCTTTAGAATTGTTTGAGGTAACTGTAAAAATTAATTGGAGATAGCTGTTACAGAAACTTAACAGAGGTAGCCAGGTGTGGTAGCTCACGCCTGTAATCCCAGCACTTTGGGAGGCCGAGGCAGGTGGATCATGACATCAGGAGATCAAGACCATCCTGGCTAACACGGTGAAACCCCGTCTGTACTAAAAAATACAAAAAAGCAGCTGGATGTGGTGGTGGGCACCTATAGTCCCAGCTACTCGGGAGGCTGAGGCAGGAGAATGGCTTGAACCCGGGAGGCGGAGCTTGCAGTGAGCTGAGATTGCGCCACTGCACTCCAGCCGGGGTGACAGAGCAAGACTCTGTCTCAAAAACAAAACAAAAACATACATGTGCATGTGTCTTTATAGCAGCATGATTTATAATCCTTTGGGTATATACCCAGTAATGGGATGGCTGGGTCAAATGGTATTTCTAGTTCTAGATCCATTCATAATAGCAAAGACTTGGAACCAACCCAAATGTCCATCAGTGACAGACTGGATTAAGAAAATGTGGCACATATACACCATGGAATACTATGCAGCCATAAAAAAGGATGAGTTCATGTCCTTTGTAGGGACATAGATGCAGCTGGAAACCATCATTCTCAGCAAACTATCGCAAGAACAGAAAACCAAACACCGTGTGTTCTCACTCATAGGTGGGAATTGAACAGTGAGATCACTTGGACACAGGAAGGGGAACATCACATACCGGGGCCTGTTGTGGGGTTGGGGGAGGGGCGAAGGATAGCATTAGGAGATATAGCTAATGTAAATGAGTTAATGGGTGCAGCACACCAACATGGCACGTGTATACATATGTAACAAACCTGTGTTGTGCACATGTACCCTAGAACATAAAGTATAATAAAATAAAAAATAAAAAAAAAACAACAAAAAACAACAAAAAAACAGAGGCTGGGCACAGTGGCTCATACCTGTAATCCCAGAACTTTAGGAGGCTGAGACAGGAGGATTGTTTTGAGCTCACGAGTTCGAGACCAGCCTGGGCAACATAGGGAGACCCCATCTCTACAAAAAAATTTAAAAATTAGCCAGGCACGGTGGCGTGCGCCTGTAGTCCTAGCCACTCAGGAGGCTGAGAATCACATGAACCTAGGAGGTTGAGGCTGCAGTGAGCCATGATTGTGCCACTGCACTCCAGCCTGGACAACAGTGAGACCTTATCTCTAAAGAAAAAAAAGAAGAAGAGATTAACAGACCTCTCAATGCCTTAGGAATAGTACTTTGACAGCCAACTTTTTTAGCTCAGTGTTCCCTGATGACTGTCAGGGTAGCAGAGGGGTTAAATGACAAGAGCTGGTTGCTCATTCCCAGCTGGAGTGGGAGAAAGGGCAGAATGGCAGCCTTCTTTCTAAAATCTGTCCTCTGTAGCTGCTTTGCTCCCTCATTCTTCCTTATCTCGCTGCCCCATGTCCGAGGCTTGAAGTATACAATGATGACTGCTACTGATTGAACATTGTTAGGAACAAAGCCCTATGGAGTGGTCAGTACAATTCCTCCTCTAGCAAGAGCTACCAGAACTATGATCCACTTTCCAAAGTTGCCTGAAGGAAAACGCAAATATCCCAGTCTGCAGTTGAGAAGAAAATCCCAGATGTGTAGGCTGCTTTTTCATGAGTTTGCGGATCATCTTTTTCTTTCCCCTCACTAGTGCTCTTGCCTTCTCTCACTGGCAGTCACATGATGACATCTTGCTCCAGAAGCCATTTTAATCCTTATTTAATGTTTGCACTCTAAAGTGATTCTTTTCTGAATGACTGGGAGCTTCAAGTTTCAAGGTCATAATTAACTTTAGCACTGGTTCCTGTGTGATTTAGGTGCTTATGCAAGTAAATACAAATGGCCAACTGAAATTTTATTTATATCAAGACATCTTGCCATTGTTTTTAACAAGGAAAGATAAAGGAGTCACTGAGCCTACTCTGACTTTTCTGAATGTATTTATAGTTTATTTAAGATTTCTCTGGCCGGGCGCGGTGATGCATGCCTATAATCCCAGCAATTGGGAGGCCAAGACAGGAGGATCGCTTGAGCCCAGGAGTTAGAGACCAACCTGGGCAACGTGGTGAGATCCTGTTTTTACAAGTAACTTTTAACAATCACCCAGGCTAGCTGGGCATGGTGGCTCACGCCTGTAATCCCAACCTTTTGGGAGGCCGAGGGGAGACAGATCACTTGAGATTAGGAGTTCTAGAACAACCTGGCTAACATGGTGAAATCCCATCTCTACTAAAAAGTACAAAAATTAGCTGGGCGTGGTGGCATACGCCTGTAATCCCAGCTACTCCGGAGGCTGAGGCAGGAGAATCACTTGAATCTGGGAGATGGAGGTTGCAATGAGCCGGGATCATGCCACTGCACTCCAGCCTGGGTGACAGAGTGAGACTCTGTCTCAAAAAAAGAAAAAAAAAGAAAAAAATTAACTGGGCCATGGTGGTGTGCACCTGTGGTCCCAGCTACTCAGCAAGCTGAGGCAGGAGGATTGCCTGAGCATGAGAGGCTGAGGCTGCAGTGATCTGTGACTGCGCCACTGCACTCCAGCCTGAGTGACAGAGTGAGACCATGTCTCAAAAAAAAAAAAAAGACTTGAGTGAGTCAGTAAAATGTAGTATTTCTAGCTTTCGATCAAATAGGATTTCTGAGGTTTCTAAACATTTCTCTTCTTTCAACTGGGCCTAATAAAATTTTCTATATGACTTTTCAGTTGCAAGAAAATTCCTTTGCAAGAACATAGCCTGCATACCACATTAAATGAAGGTGGTGTGCCTTGAGATCTAACCTTCCTGAGAAGAGAGTCAGAGTTGTGTATGTTCTATACAGCAGTCGGTTCATCGGTGCTTAGAACTTATACAGTGCTCAGCAGTACCCTGCAAGAAGAGATTTGGAATCTCAGATGGCCTTGATTGGTTGGATAGGTAATCAGACAAAAACAAAATGAATTTTAATTGTTATGAATATAGACCCACTAAATCAGTGAGAACCTGTGTAAACACAAATCAGGATTTTGTCTAAGGATGGTAAAAATACATATCTGGGGCTGTGGCTGCCTGAAAGTTAAATGAGAGTTAAATATTTTAAATACTAAATAACTTTTGAAACCAGTATGACACTACAACTACCATTATTACTAATAGCTAACTTTCACTGAGTACTTACTTCAGCCAACATTGACCTAAACCCTTTACATTGATCTGAGCCCATTTACCCAGCAGATGCAAACAGGATCAGAGAAAGCACAAGATCATCTTTCCTCCCTAGGTCAACTGAACAGTAAGCAGTAGCATAACAGGGCCCATCCCACCAGCTCAGGTGCCAGGCTGTTTGCAGCTCTACCTGTGATGCTTATACCTCATGTAAAATTCTGGCGTCCATGTTTTCTGAGCCTTAAGGAAACAAGAGCTGTTTCTTAGGATATAAATAGATACGTGTGAATGTTACAAATGCAATGGGTAGAAGATATATATTTTTTCTTTGTTTAAAGCAAAAACATGGCCAGGCACAGTAGCTCATGCCTGTAATCCCAACACTTTGGGAGGCGGAGGTAGGTAGATCACTTGAGGTCAGGAGTTCAAGACCAGCCTGGTCAACATAGTGAAACCCCATCTCTACTAAAAATACAGAAAAATTAGCCAGCATGGTGGCAGGCACCTGTAATCCCAACCACTAAGGAGGCTGAGGCAGGAGAATCGCTTCAACCCCAGGAGGCGGAGGTTATAGTGAGCCAAAATCACGCCATTGCACTCCAGCCTGGGTGACAAGAGCGAGACTCCATCTCAAAAAAAAAAGCAAAAACATTTAAATTTGACTTGTATTTAGAATTGTTTTAAAAACACTTATTGGAGGTCCACATATGTGCATAGGAAGAAATATTCTAATCTTGGTAGGAAACATTAACATCACTTTAGTATACAATTTTCTAATTTGAACCCACATGTGGAATTTAGAGAACTGGAATTTTATTTTAGCGCATTTAGATGAAATTGTCAAACATTATACCTGTAAGACAGATTTTTAAAATCTTTTAGTGCTGTAAATCAGTGTCAGTAAGATTAATATTATTTCATGAGCAAGAATCATGTGTAGAAATAACAAAAATTGCTTTCCTGGTTTTTAGATGTGTGGTTTTTAACAACAGAGGAGTGGCGGGGGAGAATCTCTTGGTAAGTAAATTTAAAAGACAACAGTCTTAACTTTTTAAAGAATCATTTATAGTTTTATAACAAAAAAGCATATTCTTTTTACTTAAAATAACTCTTTGTTTACATAAGCAATACAAATTTATCATACAAAAATACAGATGTGAAAAAAAAGGAAATTTACAAGACCCGTAATTACATAACCAGGGAAATTCCCTTAGTCTGTGTTCATTCAGATTTCATATATAAATAGAATTTATGTAATTTATTTCTATTTTTATAAAATTTAAGATTCTATTTTGTAACTAAACTTTTGTATTTACTACATTTTGACATCAATAATTATTCACCTACATCATTTTTTTTCTACCCTCTCAACCCAGCTTTTCCTGACTCTGGGAAGAACTGGGAAGAGAAGGCCTCATTTTTAGTGCAAAACACATTTTCTTTAAAAATTAACCAATGCAAAACAAATTAACTAATACAGTGATTTTTTTTTTCCACTTACGAAATTTACATTTGTTATGAAACAATTTTGTATGTTATATTTGTGTTTTGCCAGCTGAAGTTTACATGGTGGAAATGTTATTGAAACCTTTTAAAATTTATACCAGGTCTTTTTTCCCCCCGTCTAATTCTGAGGTTTTGCTAGGATAGATCTTTCACCTCTTAGAAAATCACTCTATCTGATGTTTAAATCCGTGAGTTGGAATGAGAAATATTCCACTCGCTAAAATTTTCTTCAGCTTTTTAACTTTTTACAATCTCAGCAGGTCAAAGGCAATTCTACTAGGATTGAAAGAAACATTTTGGGGGTCATTGATAGAGAATGACATTAAGACTATAAATAATTAAGTCATGCTGGAAATAAAAATTTACAGTCAGGTCACAAATGTCAACACTTTATAAGAACTTGGGAAGAAAAAACCTCTTGTACTTTGCTTTACAGTGACTTAGGCACTGGAGGAAATGAAGATCAATACGATTTCAAAAGCAAAAGTAACAGAGTGTTATGGTCTCACTTAAGTGCCTTGTAATAAATAGTTTGATGTGAAGGTTCACATTTCCTCATTCAGTCCAGCCCTTTAGGAACCTCGTAGACAGATAGTACTCTAAAGGGGAAAGATTTGAATGTGTCACTGTGGCCCTGGCCCAGACAAATCGTTTTGAACAGCTCCTGTCTGCTGTGCATTCTTCTAGGACACAAAGCGGGGGAAGACATGGTCTGAGGCTCTCAAGGAAATAATGTGCTGCAAAGCCGAGCTCGTTAGTTCTTTATGAAGTGAGGGACAAAGATCTGTTCATTCAGCAAAGCCGTGGTGTGTGCCTGTTAAATAAGACACTGTGCAAGGCAATAGGGTGAAGATATACATATTAATGAGACACAGCCCTGATCTTTAGGAGCTCAAACTTTAGTTGTGGGAGAGAGAGTCAAGTCCATAAAAATATACACAGTGCTAAGTGTAACAGTAGCCTTTGTTAAGGCTACAGAGCACAAAGGGAAAGAGTAACAAAGCGCCTTGGGGAGGTGGGAGAACTTAGAGAGGAGGTAGCATTCTGAGTTGGATCTTGAAGGCTGTGATATTGAACCTCCAAAGGGGAGAGAGAGGCTCTCTCAGCGCAAAGACCAAGGTATTATAAAGTGCATGCAATAGCAACTACTTACTATGGCTGGATGATGATGATAATTTTATCTAATATTTATGTAATTTGTAGAATGTATCAGTTATGTCTTTTCCTATTTAATCTTCAGAAATAGAAACAGCCCAATGATTTAGGTAAGTATAGCCCCCATTATCCCCCATTTCCTTTTGGAGACAGGGTCTTGCCCTGTTGCCCAGGCTGGAGTGTAGTGGCACAATCACGGCTCACTGTAGCCTCGACCTCCTGGGCTCAAGTAATCCTTCCATCTCAGCTTCCCAAGTAGGTGAAACCAGAGGTGTGTGCCACCATGCCTGGCTGATTTTTTATTTATTTGTTTTTTGTTTGTTGTTGTTGTTGTTTGTAGAGATGGGGTCTCACTCTGTTGCCCAGGCTGCTCTTAAACTCCTGGGCTCAAGTGATGCTCCCACAGTGCTGAGATTCCAGGTGTGAGCCATTGCACCTGGCCCTGTCCTGCGTTTTACAGATAAAGAAAACAAGACACTGGTAGGGTAGGAACTTACCCCTCCCAATCAATGGCAGAGCCAGGATTCAGACCCAGATGATCTAACTATGTGCTTATGTTCTTGACCATTATGCTTTATGCTTTCTTACTATTCTGGAAGTGGCAGGAATTTTTCTAGAAGGGTAGGGCCAGATTTTGAAGAATCACATGTAGAATCCTAAGAAACCTGCTAGTGAATCATTGATATTTTGAAACAAGGGCATAATTTGATCATGGTCATGTTTTAGAAAGAGAACCATGGCAGTGGTGTGTAGGAAAGAAAGAGATGGAGGGGAAGGAGGCTGGAGGCTGGAGGCTGGGAGGCCAGTTAGAAAGCAGTTACTACAGACCTACATGGAGTTTGGAGTTTGAAAGCAGATGGAAGGGGAATAAAGAAGAAAGAACAAAAATGAGTAGTATTCATGGGGAAGAAAATAGTGTTAGCTGTATTGTGGGAAGTAAAGACAAGGGAGTCAAAGGTAATATTTCTAGCTTGGCTGGCTGATGGAAGATACTGGTATTTGAAATAGGAAATTTAGAAGAATTTGTGAGATTATGATGTAACAAAGATAACAGAGTCCGTTTTAGAGGGTTAGGGTGCTTTTAGATCATCTCGGTGGAAATTTTTAGTAAGTTTGTGGATGTACTGGACTGGCTTTCAGGAGAAAATAGGCAAGCAAGAGAGAGACAGACTGAGATCAGTGTGCAGGTAGAAGCTCAAGAGTAGTTGACATTAGGTAGGGCGTGTGTAGAGTAAAAGGGGAGATTGATGGTTAGAAGCTTAAGAAACAACAGGCTGGGAGTGGTGGTTCACACCTGCAGTCCCAACACTTTGGGAGGCCCAGGTGGGAGGATCACTTGAGCCCAGAAGTTGAAGATCGGCCTGGGCAACATATTGAAACCCTGTCTCAAATATATATGTGTGTGTATATATATGCTATATATAAAAGATATATTGTATATATATGTGTAAAAGATATATTGTGGTAATATATCATATATATAAATTATTTGTAATATTATATTTATATATAATATATACGTATATGTATATATAAATATATATATAATATTATATTATATATATAAATATATAATATAATATATATTATATATAATAAGTGTATAGTATATTTATATATTATATTTAAAAGAAATAACAATAGCAGAGAGAAAAAAGAAGAGGGATGCCTTTAAAAACATTCTCCTCCTTTAGCATTTAAAGTTAATTTAAGAAAATTTTGCTTTGAAATAGTATAGCAACCCAGTAATTTCAGCCCATAAGCTTTAATTGTATTTTTGAAAACCTCCAAAGAAGAATCACATGAGTTCTAAGTAAGATAAGATAGCTTGGGTCCTCCTGGAGTCTTTTTAAAACACAGTATGTCAGTTTAAATTTGGAGTTAAGCGTTAACCCCCCAGCAAATAATGTGTCCAGAACTAGCTAATACACACTAAGCTGCTTAAGAGTTACAGTCTGGCAGGCAGCTGGTTGTGTACCAGAAGGGACTTTGGGACTCAGTAAGAAGTCCCAAGTTCAAGTTCTGTTGTCACCACTAACCAGCTATAAGTGGTAAAGTACAAGTCAAATAACCTTTCTGTTTCTCTTTTTCTTAACTGAAATATGATAATAATGTGTACTTGCCACCTCACAAGGTTGTTTCAAGTTCACGTGAAATAATAAACATGAGGCTGAGCACGGTGGCTCACACCTGTAATCCCAGCACTTTAGGAGGCTGAGGTGGGCGGATCACTTGAGGCCAGGAGTTCGAGATCAGCCTGGCCAATATGGTAAAACCCTGTCTCTGCTAAAAATACAAAAAATTGGCCGGGCGCGGTGGCTCAAGCCTGTAATCCCAGCACTTTGGGGGGCCAAGATGGGCAGATTGTGAGGTCAGGAGATCGAGACCATCCTTGCTAACACGGTGAAACCCCGTCTCTACTAAAAAATACAAAAAACTAGTCGGGCGAGGTGGCGGACACCTGTAGTCCCAGCTACTCGGGAGGCTGAGGCAGGAGAATGGCGTAAACCCAGGAGGTGGAGCTTGCAGTGAGCTGAGATCCGGCCACTGTACTCCAGCCTGGGCAACAGAGCGAGACTCTGTCTCAAAAAACAAACAAACAAACAAACAAAAAATTAGCCGGGCATGGTGCTACATACCTGTAGTCCCAGCTACTTAGGAGGCTGAGGCAGGAGAATCATTTGAACCCAGGAGGTGGAGGTTACAGTGAACCAAGATGGCATCACTGCACTCCAGCCTGGGTGACAGAGCAAGAATCCATCTCAAAAACAAACAAACAAACAAGCAAAAAGAAAAACAGTAAACTTGAAATATCTTGTAAAATAAAACTTTTTAGGGCCGGGCACAGTGGCTTATGCCTGTAATCCCAGCACTTTGGGAGGCTGAGGCAGGCAGATCACTTGAGCCCAGGAGTTCAAGACCAGCCTGGCCAACATGGCGAAACCCCATCTCTATTAAATTTAAAAAATAATAAAAAACAAAAACAGGCCAGGCACGGTGGCTTACGCCTATAATCCCAGTGCTTTGGGAGGTCGAGGTGGGTGGATCATGAGGTCAGGAGTTCGAGACTGGTCTGGCCAACATGGTAAAATTCCGTCTCTACTAAAAATACAAAAATTAGCCGGGCATGTTGGCACATGCCTGTAATCCCAGCTACTTGGAAGGCTGAGGCAGGAAAATCACTTGAACCGAGGAGGCAAAGGTTGCAGTGAGCCCAGATCGTGCCACTGCACTCCAGCCTGGGTGACAGAGCGAGACTCTGTCTCAAAAAAATTTAATTAATTAAAATTAAAATTAAATAAAGTTTTTTATAACTCAAGGCATAATTGCTACTGTATTAACTCATTAGATCATTA